GCGGTTGGCATCAAGAATAGTTTTCTAACAGGAAACGGGACAGCAATGTGAACAAACACAAAATTTTCAACCCATGCGTCACAGGCACGGAGTTGCGAGCAGCTGCCGAGTAATAGTCTCCTGAAGCAAACGCGACAAAAAAAATGAAGTGGCGACTGTGACGTCATCATAAACTGCTGCAGCGCAGTCACGTGAGGAAAGTCCCCATGTGTCTCCTTTGAGTGTGTCAATAGCGCGATGGAGTCGAGCGCCCACACAAAGTGCAAAATTAATATAAAATACCTTCCAAGCTATATTCGCTGTTGATATTTTGCAGATAATATATGCATGCTCATGAAAAGTGATCACGCAGGCCATCTCGAGTGCGAAATCTTGTGTTAGTACGTCTTTAAGCTTTGATCACTGGTAATGCTTATTTTCGCAATAGTCGCACAGACCTGGTCAGTTTCCATGAGCTGACCAGGTTTTTAAGAAAAATTCCCCGACTTTTTCAGAAGGGTCCACATTTCCCAACTTTTCCAGGTTTTCCAGGCTGGCAGACACCTTGTTAACGGACAGTTGGTTTTTGAGATGGCAGGAGTGCTACACCATATAACAGAGAAAAGGCACCACGTTATATTTCAAAAGTTGCCAAGTTATTGTGGAATTATTGGTAGTGAATGAGCTGATCAAGCTGCCCATTCAGCCCATACAGAACACCATGATCTGCCAATACCAATCTCTCTAGGACGGACGCTGCTAAGATGCTCCGCATGCTTGCTCGCCAATGCTCCATGTCACTTTGGGATGAGCCTCTTTCATGCAAGATTACGCTTTCTTGATCCTACATTAACCTTACAACTTCCAACAAAACTTCGATGAGGTGACGATACTGTTCTGTGCAGATTACGGTTGGGCGTCGGGTTTACCTGTGCGTACGCATTTCGCATAGGGATGACCGACACCCCCGTCTGTGCACACTGCGGTGATGAAGAGAAAATTCGATACGTCCTGTGCCATGAATATAACAGACAAAGACAATACCTTTCTAATACACTCAACAAGTTAGATAACCAGCTGCTGTCAGAGGAACGTATACTTCGCCAATTTCTAGACTCATCATCACAGAAGGCCGTGCAAGCACTACTGGAACTTCTTGCGAACTACTGGCCTGTTGGAACGACTCTGAATGGATTGATTTTGTTTGCACGTGTGTCTGTGTTTTGTTCTTATTTATTTTTTACCTCTCGCTCTCTTTCAACCTTCTATTCTCCTACACCAGCATAGCGTAGCATACCAGATACTAGCATCTGGTTAACCTCGCTGCCTTCCTTTTTTCTCGTTTCTCTCTCTACACTGACACCATACAGTACAAGGGCCTGTGCCATTTTGTCTCCACCGAAATGTGACAGCCGCCCACAAGATTGCACCCGTGATCTTTGGATCAACATGAGAGTACCCTTGCCCCTGATTCTCCATGGATAGGGTGTTTGGGGAGGGGGTACAAATTTGTTCTGTATGTTGTTGAGGGGCAGGGGGGGGGGGGGGAATGCTCTGCTGGAAACTTTGTCGAGAACAATGAAAAGAACAGAGGCCTGTGACATGAACGAAGGGCTCATTCATGCCTCTGTAACACACAGCTATGAGGAAGTCCAAAGAAAACGTTAACATTTCTACCAGTGGGTGACCAGAAGCAGCTTCTTCTTTTTTTTTTTTTAAATGCTTATAAAACTTTTGTAGCTTTGCGCTGCAAATGAATGCCTGGCACCTTTTTCGCCCCACACACCGCTGCACCAGACGAGACAGAAAAGACGAAAAATGTCCACTAGGAAGGCAGTCTATCGTATGTCGAGTGTGCTCTTGCGAGGGAGTGGAAGCGCATTATTGAGTGCAAAAAAAATTAAACATGGAAAGAAATTGTCAATTGCTACAATGACAATTACAGGATCACCAGGTGCAGCTAAAGAAATCCTGGTATAAGCAGAAATGGAAAGAGAAAAGCGAGAGCACCACAAAACTAATAAGTGCAACATGTTATGCATGACTGGCTCACTTGGATCATTATTATTGTGATCTGCCATATGTTCTATATTCGAGAGAAATATGAGCACTGAGTGGAAATAGTTATGACTGTTAGGTACTGCAGTGCGAACACTTCGCCATTTGCACTGCCAGGGTTTTTAATGCACGTGTGTGCGCAAACAATGCATTCCATGTAATTCGGCCACCCTTCATTAATCCTATGAAATTCCGCCATCTGTGGGAAGCGTATCAGCAGTGCCTTGTGATGAGCAGGGTTACTTTGCCGACTGCGGGACACACTGTCGACTGCATAATGCGAGCATGGAATCGTTCCTCGTCCAGCTCCATAGGATTTCCCTGGTCACATACTGTATTTTTGCGCATATAACCCGCCTCTGCATATAATGCGCATCCCCACTTTCAGCTCACTAAAAAAAAAAATCCTCGCGTATTGCCCGCAAATTTTATATACAGGAAAGGCTGTACAAAAGCTACTGCTAAAGCAACATAGCACATATGTAGACAGAAAAAGCTTTATTTAGCAAGCAGATTACGCTGTCTGCAAGGCCAGTCACAATTCACTCACTGTCGCTGCTCTCGCTAGAGCTATCACTTGAGCCGCAGTCCTCACTGTTATGCACAAGGCCATCTTCGGTTCCATCTATGTTGTTTGTGATGCAACATTTCTTGAAACTTTTTTGCACCATCTCACCTGGAATGGCCTTCCATGCTTCGACAATCCACTTGCAGAATAGGGCAATATCACGCCTTCAGACTCGTCCTGTTGGCGTCACGTCGCAGAGGCCTTCGGCCATCCACTCGGCGTAATAGCGCTTGACATGCGCTTTGAAGGGCTTGTTAAGCGACACATCTAGAGGCTGCAACATTGACGTCATTCCATCGGGTATAACAACTAAGTCGGTGGCGTTGCGTGAAAGGCGGTCCTTCACTTCCTCAGCTGTGTGGCCGCAGAACGGGTCAAGAACGAGCATGGACCTCTTTGCGAGCATCGCACTGGGCCTCTTCTCCCATACCGTCCTGATCCAGTCTACGAACAAGTCACTGTTCATCCACGCGTTCTCGTGTGCGTGCACCACCACACTGGCAGGCAAATGAATCTTTGGTAGAGTTTTCCTTTTCAAGATGACGTACGGTCGCAGTTGCGTGTGCTGTCGGCGAGGGCACAAAGCAAGACTGTGATGCCAGTTTCGTGTTTCCGCCGGTCAGCACGCTCACCTAACTGCTGCCCGTCTTCTCAATCGTTGTGTCCAACGGCATTTCAAAATAAACAAGAGTTTCATCCGCATTGCCGATTTGCGAGAAAATGTAATTGTGCTGCTTTCACAGGCCAATTAGATATCTCTGGTACTTGGGCAGCTTCTCCTCATAAGAAGCTGGCAAGCGTTGACATATTGTAGTCCGCCATCTGATTGGGAGCCCTTGCCGCTTCATAAAGCGGCAAGGGCTCCCAATCACGGAACTCGTGAGGTAGGCCTAGCTCCCTCGAAAGACGCCGCGCTTCCACTTGGGCCATCTTGGTCGATACGGCGTGACCCCTGCTTCTCACATCTTCGATGAACTTTACTAGCTCCGCCTCCAGCTCAGGGTAGGCACCAGTCTTGGGGCCACGAAATGACCTACGGTCGCGATGCGCGGCTTGTAGGCTCTCTTTCTTCTTTCTCCACAGTCGCACGCAGGACTCGTCCACATCGCGCCGTCTTCCCACTTCGCGATTTCCGAATTCCTCAGCGACGGCAATGATCTTAAGCTTTTGCTGTGCCGTGAAGGACTGCCGCCGTACGCTACTCATGGTGACAGAACAGATCGACTTAGGCTTCCACGACTTAGCACTACCCCTTCTAGTACACTGTAACAGCACCCTGGAAACAACAGACCGAAATGCATGCCTGCTACCGCATCAAAAAGTAGTACATAAATTTACTGATAATATCTCTATCTCTTTCGCGAACGTCCAAAAAATATACTTGTGGTGTGACATTGAGATTTTACACTGAACAATCGAATTGTCTCTCTCCAAATGTTTTTCTAAACGCTTCAACGATGCAAGCAAGCGAAACCAAAATCGGCCGCAAGCTGCCGTGCTACTTGCGGAGCAACACGAATTTGCGGGAACCGCTTCCGTAGCCTTCGCTACACTGTTAAGGGGCTTCACAGCACAACACACATTGCTGTGAAGCAGCACTATAGGAAAACCCCGCTATTATCCGCTCCTCCACTTTGCCACTAAAATATTTGGGTTTTTGGTGCGGGTTATACGCGTGAAAATACGGTAAGATGGGCTATGCCAACTTCGGCAGGTGATGCACCTCATAAAAATGCAACATCCAAGGCGTAGCATGCGAGCTCAAAAAGAGCACAACCTTCATGCCACGTCCATTCAAGAAGCGGCCATGTTGAAATAACACACGTCTGTTTCAAGCTAGCGCCGCAGCAGACTTGAAACGTGACCCGAGTTTGATCAAGCCCGATTGCCATCAAGTCGTCCGCAAGATTAAGAATGATTTATGGCAAGCGGCAAGGTTGTCTTGAGACTGGCTCAAGTCAAGCAAGCGTCAAGTAACATCTCTGCATTCGGGGGCAAGGGTCTCAAAGGCACGAGGTTTCCGCCATAGACTACTGTCTTCTTACATTGCCCTAAGGATTGCATACGAATTTGTTTTTTAGAGAAAAACCTTTAGTACGCCATCATTTATACAGCTAAGCTTCGGAGAGCACAAGCAAAGGCCAATATTAACAGGCCGTTTTTTTATACAGCAGGAAAAAAGCACAAGTATCGGTATGTTGTTTCTAATTTTATTTTTGAATCTAACACGGTTTAAATATAAGTGCCAGCTGTTGATGTTATATTTACACAAGAGGAATGCCTACAACATTAGCTTTTGTGAAATACCTAAGAGTTCTGGTATTATAACACAACAGACACAGTAATCCCAGGCAGTTAGAAATTCATAAATGACATCCCATTTGCAAGAGCTCACCTTTTACGCATGGCCAGCATGGTGTTGATCTCCCAGATGATATTACGAAGGGCATCTATGACTTCTTTAAGCTGACGGTTCTTCAGCACCACTTGCTGCAAATAGAGCAAAGAGAGCACAGGGCTGCAGTGTGCAGGTTGGCAAATGTCAAGGTACAGTAGCACACTTCCAAGCCAGCCTACTGTGTGTGCAGTGCACAATAAAGCTTACCGCTTATGTCCCGGACTGCACCCCTTCTTTGTCGAACAATTCCAACTTTTGCCTGATAATTTTACCCATTTCATTCCACTCACAGATGCATTCCTTTTCTGTGGATAAGCATTGCACTACAGTGATTATCAATTATTATTTGTACGGTAAATATCTATAAAAGCAGAGAGTGCATAAAAACAAATAAGCATGAAGGACGAAGCGTAAGCTTTGTGGTTTGCGTGCAAAGCTTATCTTTTCTTCTGCTAGGCATAATGAGCCCGGTAGGCTTGCAACAAACGATGTTACGTGTTATAATCCAATCTTTTTGACTAAATTATAATAGGTGTCCGGCTTTGAACTAAAGAAAATGCTAAAAATTATCGATGATGAAGTCAAAACTTTCACAAAAACCGCATGCTGAAAATTGCAGACATAAGTGTCAGCAAACAAGTTACTGGTGTTAATGTTTTTGTTTTGGCTCGAAATGCCAAAAAATCAACATACAGTTAAACCTGCTTATAACACACCTTGATATAATGAATTCCTTAATATTACGAAGTATTCCAATTCCCTGCTGTTAAGCCATAGAAGCACATGTATTTGAGACCTCTATGTAACAAAGTAACAACAGGAGACATCCTTTATAAAACAAATTTTCACCGTGGATAATCTAGGAATTTCGCTCCGCGTTTTGTCATGCACATGCATCTTCTGCGGTTGCTCCGCCGCCAACAAGGCGCGAAGCAGTGGCGGCGCGCACGGCATACTTGTGGCCCCGGCGACTCCGCCGCGAGACTGAGCAATCGCTATTATGTAGAGGTGTGCGCAAGGCGGAGAGCAGTAAGGCCTGCACCCCTCGAGCCAACGTTGCTGCCGTTCTTGCCACCGTGGGAGCACACGCGGATTTTTCTTTCCCCTCCTTCCATCTAAAAAAAATTCTACTTTAGTGTTTGCAGCGCCACTTGTAGACAGCTGCTAAGTCTCTGAACTGCCCTTTAAAGGCAAACTCGGGCATTTTATTGGGGTCAATGGATTTCATATGAAATTCCCAGGGTATGTTCATTTGCACGTTTGTGCCATTCACGCCAAATCGCAAGCTTGAGAATTTCGAAGATTCTTTTCAAATGAATTTTCTAGCTTGCCTCGAAACGCTCACCTCCCTTGCCAGAAATAATGGCAACACTGTGCATGTGACGTTGAATTTTGCCTGGCGGAAGTGAAGAACTGATGTGCCACTGCAGCGACTGCGTGTCTGCTACAGATTGTGTGGGTTTGGCCGGCGCTTCCTTGGTTGAGCGTGCGATTTTCTTTTCCGTGTTGGTGGGCGTGCGATAGGTGCCAAGCGGTGTTGCATTGTGAGCCACACACGATTCGCAATATCTTCACCATAACAGTGTAAGCGTTTTAGCCGATCGTGGCCGACGGCATGGACAGCTAGTGCCATCTGGCAGGCATTATGTGAAATCAGGCAGGTACGAGCAAATGATTACGTCATATGTAGAAGCACACTTGGTTGGGTTCTGGCATTATGGTTTTTCGGTAATTAAAAATTATTTTCAAATTTATTGAGCATTCCAGCTATCAGGTGTGTGACAAGAGTGTCTCAGGAACATGAAAGCATTATTATCAAGACACGCTCGAAAAATCGCCCGATTTGGCTTTCAAGTGACACAGGTGATGCCCCTTTGCGTTGTTACGCTTTTAGTTGCATCACATATGTGAAACCGCGCTGCATACAGTCAAATCTCGATATAACGAATTAAGTGGGACCGTTGCAACTCGTACGTTATTTTGAAATATCGTTGTAATGAAAAACTTCGATTGTAAGCAAGAGGTCAAACCTAGGAGCGAACATGACGTACCTTGGCAGTTGCCGTGTGCGCTGACAAGCAAACACACACAAAAAAAATTACACACACTTCAAACGTTCTTTATTTGAAGAAATCTGTGATTTTCTTCTGACGTGTGGAGCACAAACGGCTGATTAAGTACGCCTTAACACCTTCCACCTTACACAGCACCTCATCGGGCACATCACTGCACCGACCAATGTAGGTGCGGACTTTGTTCATGTGCACTAAAACATTCGAGTGCGATATGGTCTCATCCTCTTCAGTGTTCGGTGATACAGAGTCTTCTTCCTTCGGGTCGTCGTCGTCACTGGAGACGTCGCGAACGCTGTTGACAATCTCCTCGGTTGTCATGTCCGCCGACGTTAGTGCTGCGCTGTCGCTCTCCACGTAGTCGTCGAAGGAAGAGACGTGCGCAACAGTTCCTCAACCTCAGTCCACAGGTCTCCTGGGTTGCTGTGGTCCTCTTCCAGGTTGTCTTCAACTTGGGCAGGCGCCTTGATTAGGCCTGCTTTTCGCCAACAGTTACGGATTGTTGACGTCTTCACGTTCCACCAAGCTCCCGTCAGCATTTCCGCCACTTGACGAACGTTGACTGATGTCGGCTGCTTTAAGCGGAGATTTATAATAAAACGCTGCACAAGGCGCTTGCGAAATTCCGCCTTAACACTCTTTATGATGCCTTGATCTAGTGGTTGCAGCAACGACGTGTTGCTCGGTGGCAGAAACTCCAGGCGAACGTGCATCAAGCGAACATTCACAATGTGGGCTGAACAGTTGTCGACGATCAAAAGAATTTTTCTATTTTCTTTCCTCATTTGTTCGTCGAGTTTGATGAGCCACTGCGAAAACAATTCTCTTGTCATCCAGGCACGCTTGTTCGCACAATAGTCGAACGGTAGGGATACGACGTTCTTCATGCAGCGAGGCTTTGCGTATTTTCCAATGACAAGCGGCTTGATTTTCTTCGTGCCCGACGCATTGCAGCAGAGCAAGACCGTCACGCGGAGATGCGACTTCTTGCCTCCTTTACACTGCTGACCTTTGAAGTGCATCGTCCGATCTGGCAAGAGCTGGTAGAAGCACGCGGTCTCGTCCGCGTTGAAAATGTCGTCTTCAGAGTAGTACGACTCTGCCACCTCTCGAAACGATCGTTCCGCCAGGAATCTGCACCCTCTTTGTCCGCAGCCTTTTCTTCACCTGAGACTACCTGCCAGGTTATGCCGTTTCTCTGGCGAAAACGAAAAAGCCAACCCGCACTTGCATCAAACCCAGTTACTTCAAGTGCGTCGGCGAACTCGTGGGCTTTTTCTTGAAGCATTGGGCCAGACACTGGGATGTTTTGCAGCCAGGCATCTTTAAACCAGGTCAGCACAGCTTGGTCGACATCTTGAAAATTTCCCAGGCGCAACCGTTTCCTCGTAGGTGCAAGTTGTGACTATCGGTGAAGCTTCAGAATCTTTTCTCTGTCTTTCCAAATGGTCGCGACAGTCGACAGGGCAATGCCACGCTCCCTGCAGAGGTCGATTTCCTTTTTGCCCGAGTCAAGTTCCCTCAACAAATCCACCTTTTCTTGCAGGGAAAACTGCTTTCGCCTCTTCTTAGCGCTGTCACCTGGTGCATTCATCGTTGGGTCTCCAAACACTTTGCAGAAAGCTAAGAAAAAAAGAACGACAACAAAACGCAGCAGACTTCACACGTGCGTGGCACGAAGGACGCACGACAAAGGACGAGCCAATGAGGCTAGGTCTGCTAAGCTGCCACACATCAAACTATACCTGTGTGGTGGCGCTAGCAGTCAGCTCTCAAGACGGTGATGATGATAGCTTCCGTGCATGGAAAAAAAACAGCGGCTACTGCGCTACGCGAGAGTTGCGGTGCTGCTACTTTTAACTAAATTCGTAATACTGATGTTCCTTGCATATAGGCGAGCAAATAAATTATGCACGTTATTCTGAAATATACATTGTACTGAAATTCGTTGTTCTGAAATATTTTTACATTGAAAATATATAAGTAATCTGGCGGGGATTTTCAAAATATTCGTAAATCTGAAAAAATCGTTAATTCGGTGTTCGTAGTAACGAGATTTGACTGTATAGAGTACGCTTTACCGAATAGTTTTCTGTGGTAGTACTAGTGTTGTGCGCTCTTCGTTTTTGACGCTGTGTACTAAGGCACTGTACTTTGGCATTCGTTTCACGAGTTCAACACGGTGGCGGCGGCACCACAGTATTTGTTTCCGAAAAGTGCAGCTGTTGTGCAAGACAAGTTCCCGAGTTTTCTACACCTGCTCGTGAGGTATGACAAAGTCTGTGCAGCACAAGGTGGCTGCAGCTGCAGCAGACGACGCAGCTGATATCAATCGTGCCTGTTTTAGTGGCGTCCAACAAGTGCAACAGCGAACGTTTTTCAGTAGTTGCACATGCCAGGCAACGTAAGCGACGCCGTCTTTTACGAATCACAGCTTCGAAGCAGCCAACTAGCAGCATAAGGCTTGCACGACATCTGCACTCTCATATTAGTTTCTGTGTCCCCTTGCTGCTGCACTTGCTCAAACATCCCATGCATGACCACGGCACCGAGACGGCACAACCATGAACCAGTTCAAGAAATGCAGACTGAATCGAATGGACCTATAGTTTCAATGAGCGCGCATGGAGTGGCCCCGACAATGTTCAGCTTTGCTTCTTTGTTTTTTTTTAATGCGGAAAACCACATAGTTACTGCTGAGGGGATGTCAAATTAGGCACTGACAGTACTCCCCGAGACTACGGTGACAACGATGACCTATGAAAGTCAACTCGTCTCGCGGCATGCCATCTTGTGCCGCAAGATCAAAGAACGTTAGCCTTTGCTATTAAATGATTAGCTCTGGCAGCATCACAGCACGTTGAATACAATGCAATGAAAGTGATAGCAACAAATTGTAATCTTATGTGAAATAAAGCTGGCAGCCAGCTCTTTAGGTCTGATATCGCAGAACTCTTACAAAACGCTGTAAACAAATACGGCCGCTCTCGGAAGGAGTGCTCTTTTCACACAGTCTCTTC